AAAAAAAAAAAAAATTGACCGCCAAGATACATGTAAAAAGCAACTGAATAATTAAAAAACCCCAACAGGCTCAGTGCCCACAGCACAGTTGTTATGGTGCCAGCCACATATACTGAAGGTGGCAGGGTCAAACTTGGCCCAAGCCAGCTAAACAACCGCAACAACAACAACAAAATAGCTGAGTGCTGTGGTGGGCTTGGAGGCTGAGGCAAGAGAATCACTTAAGCCCAAGAGTTTGACACCACGGTACTCTACTGAGGGCAACATAGAGAGACTTTGTCTCAAAAAAATAAAAAAATAAATAAAAAATAAAAAAACCCCAACAAAACAAACTTACATGATGACGTTTTGTCCATAAATATGACAAAGCAAAAGCTTAAAGATTATATAACTGATTTAAAAATTTTAAACATAAACAAGCACAGAAGTAGGTAGAGTTAAAATTATTTGCTAAACTTATATGAAAGGAATAATGACATTACAAACTATAAAAACCTGTATTGCTGTATAGGGTGAGGGAGTAAAGGGTTATTCAAATAAGACATTTAACAAAGAAATGTAAATTGGGAAGGGGGAAAATTAGATAATGAAAATGAAATGCATTTAGCCTATATTAATCTACATTAAACCACATACTTATACTAATGTGAATTATAAAACATTCTTATTGTTCAATATCGTTGTTTCACTGACTTAACCTTCTTTTTTTGGGGGGGACAGAGCCTCAAGCTGTCCCCCTGGGTAGAGGGCCCTGGAATCACAGCTCACAGCAACCTCCAACTCCTGGGCTCAAGCGAGTCTCTTGCCTCAGCCTCCCAAGTAGCTGGGACCATAGGCGCCTGCCACAACACCCAGCTATTTTTTGGTTGCAGCCGTCATTGTTGTTTGGCGGGCCTGGGCTGGATTCGAACCCACCACCTTAGGTATATGTGGCTGGCGCCTTAGCCACTTGAGCCACAGGTACCGAGCCTGAAATGAATTTTAATGTGTAAAATATCATGGGAGAATTCAAAGACAAATTAAACATGGAGTCTAACTGAAGGTGGGAATAGATGCATTTACAGAAGGAAATATATTTATGTGGTTTGATAAATAAAACCACATTTTTTAATACCTTTGTTTTTTTTGCAGTTTTTGGCTGGGGCTGGGTTTAAACCCACCACCTCCAGCCTATGGGGCTGGCACCCTACTCCTTTGAGCCACAGGTGCCACCCAAAACCACGTATTTTAATAGTATATACTATATAAGTCACAGTAAATCTTATACACAAGTGCTTATTAAATCCTTACAATGACTTTTCAATTAGGTACTATTATCATGACATTTTGTAGTTGGGGAATTAGGCTTAGAAAGGTTAATTATATTGGGCTGAGCATGGTGGCTCACACCTGTAATCCCAGCACTTGGGAGGCTGAGGCAGGTGGATTGCCTGAGCTCACAGGTTTGAGACCAGCTTGAGCAAGAGCAAGACCCCATCTCCAAAAATAGCCAGGCATTGTGGCAGGCGCCACTCAGGAGGCAGAGACAAGAGAATCGCTTGAGCCCAGGAGTGTAAGGTTGTTGTGAGCTGTGACTCCACAACACTCTACTGAGGGTGACAAGTGAGTCTCTGTCTCAAAAAAAAAAAGAAAAGGTCAATTATATTGTCCAAAACCACACATCAAGTGAGAAAGTTTCAGCAAACACAAATGGTTCAGTGTCATTGAAGAATAGTCACTTAACTATTGGTGGCTGTGAGATTTGATGCTTGGATTTCAGGTGGAGGGGCTTGAATGTTGGGACTTGATTTTGCATACCCTGATAAGTTACTAAGGCAGTCAGTCATTGGCAAGACTACTATGGCAGCAAATTTTAAGAGGTAAGCCAGGGTATCTGAACTTCAGCTCTACTGACATTTGGGGCTAGATGATTCTTTATTGTTGCAGGCTGTCCAGTAAAATGTTCAGCGGCATCCCTGGCCTCTACCCACTTACTACAAACTGATAGCACAGGTTCCATATTCCCCATTTAAAAACTACTGAGTCAGCGGGCACGGTGGCTCACACCTGTAATCCTAGCACTCTGGGAGGCTGTGGCAGGTGGACTGCTTGAGCTCAGGAGTTTGAGACTAGCCTGAACAAGAACAAGATCCTGTCTCAACTAAAATTAGAAAAAACAGATGGGGTGTTGTGGCAGGCGCCTGTAGTCCCAGCTGGTGGGGAGCCTGAGGCAAGAGAATAGCTTGAGCCCAAGAGTTTGAGGTTGCCGTGACTTATGGTGAGGCCATGGCACTCTACCCATGGCTATGGAATGAGATTCTGCCTCAAAAAGAAAAAAAAAAAGAAAGAAAGAAAGGGCCAGGCACCGTGGCTCATGCTTGTACTGTAATCCTAGCACTCTGGGAGGCTGTGGTGGACGGGTCACCTGAGCTCACAAGCGATCCAAAATATAGCTGGGTATTGTAGCAGGCATCTGCAGTCCCAGCTACTTGGGAGACTGAGGCAAAAGAACTGCTTAAGACCAAGAGTTTGAGGTTGCTGTGAGCTGTGATGCCATAGCACTCTACCAAGGGTGACAAAGTGAGACTTTGTCTCCAAAAAAAAAAAAAAAAAAATAGATGAAGGGGTCCAAGCCATTCAGCCTATCACAGCTGGCAAACTGGGAAGGGTGACCTGAGGGATGGGAACACACAAAGAAGTGACTACTTCCAAGCAGCTCTCACCCATACTTTTTAACTCGGCAGGGTGAACTTTATTCATGGGGCCTATCTGGCAAAATCAGAAATGACTAGAAATGTAACCTGTGGCCCCCCGCATGCTCTAGCAGGATGTCCCAGGGAAGTTAGTGTCAAGAGCTGTTTTGGCACAGTGGAGGAGTGAAAGTTGGCTTCGAGAGGAATAAGAAAGGAGAAAGTAAGGAGAAAGTTCTACAGCCACCTAAGAATCAATTTTCAAAACATCCCATCTATAAAATTAACACACAGAAACCTTTTGGAGGTTCATGATCTTGAAGAAGTTATTCCTTCACAATGGTGGTAATTTTGAAGAATTTTATATAGCAGAATGTAAAATTCTATCTCACTTGGTATATTTTTTCCATGTGGATAGAACCTCAAGATGTGAAAGACTGGTTTGGAAGCAAGTCTAGCTTCCCTCCAAGTTCCAGAAAAATATACTTAGAGGAAGGGAATAAAATTAAGTTGTGGATACTCTGACCCAGAGAGGGAAGAAGGGAGTTCTTTTAGTAACCCAGAGCAGCATGTGAACCAGGCACCAGTGAATCAACAACTGTGTACTGAGTAGGGGCAGTCCTGAGTGGGTGTATAGGTCCTCAGAGAGGTCTTGCTCTAATCTGTACCTTTTCAAAACTATCCTATTCAATTTTCTTAGGGGTTTTGGTGTTTTATTTATTTATTTACATATTTTTTGGAGACAGAGTCTCATTCTTTCACCTTGGGTGGAGTGCAGTGGCATCATCTTAGATCACTGCAACCTCAAACTCCTAGGCTCAAGCAATCCTCCTGCCTCAGGTTAGGACTACAAGTGCTTGCCACAATACCAGGCTAATTTTTCTATTTTTAGGGTCTCACTCTTGGTCAGGCTGGTCATCAACTTCTGACCTCAAGCAATCTGTCTGCTTTGGCCTTCCAGAGTGCTAGGATTACAGGTGTGAGCTACCTTGCCCAGCCTGATTTTAGTGTTTTAAAAATAAATGTTTAAAATGGCTACGTTTTTGGAAGTTTTATACTATATAACATTCATATGGTATTTAGCGCTATGCCAAGGAACACCCTAGAACCATAAGAAGGGTTCTTGGTCATGAGCTCTCCTGGTAGTTTCCTCTTACATCTTTTTTTTTTTTTTTTGAGATAGTCTCATTATGTCCCCCACAGTAGAGTGCCATGGTGCCACAGCTCATAGTACCCTCAAACTCTTGGGCTCAAGCAATTCTCTTGCCTCAGCCTCCCAAGTACCTGGGACTACAGGCGCCACCGCAAATGCCCAACTATTTTTTTTGTTGCAGTTGTCACTGCTGTTTAGGGCCTAGGCCAGGCTCAACCCCCCCAGCCTGGGTGTATGTGGCTGGTGCCCTACCCATGGAGCTATGGGTGCTGCCCTACATAATTATTATTATTATTTTTTGAGATGGAGCCTCAAGCTGTCCCCCTGGGTAGAGTGCTGTGACATCAAAGCTCACAGCAACCTCCAACTCCTGGGCTCAAGTGAGTGTCCTGCCTCAGCCTCCCAAGTAGCTGGGACCACAGGCACTTGCCACAACGCCCGGCTATTTTTTGGTTGCAGCCGTCATTGTTGTTTGGCGGGCCCGGGCTGGATTCGAACCCGGCACCTTAGATGTATGTGGCTGCGCCCTAGCCACTTGAGCCACAGGCGCCAAGCCTATATCATTATTTTTATGGCAAAAATATGTGATTTGGGAAAAACACTCACTCACCAAACTGTGTTTTCCTTTAAACTTCACAACAATCAAAACAGAAGAGGACGTCTATGACCAAATGTGGCATTTTTTCCCTCATACTCCATGCAACAAACACTGGGTGGATGTCTTCTAATTCAGTTCTGACACAATCACGCTCTACCTGGAGAGAATGTTAAATCCTGTAGGATGAGGACTCAGTCACAAGTCCTGACTGTGCAACTTCTGACTGGCTTCAATTTGGGGTTCTCATGTCCCCTTCGCTCTTTGGGTTCGATTAATTTGCTGGAGTGGCTCACAGAACTCAGGGCAAGTTATACTTACCAATTTCTTATAATGGCTTTTACAAAGCACACAGATGAAAAGATGCCCAGGGTGAGGTTAAGTGGGAGGAGGTGTGGAGCTTCCATGTCCTTCCTGGGACCATCACCCTCAACTATCTAGAAGCTCTTAGAATCCAGTCCTCTTGGGGTTTTTTTTTTGGCCAGGGCTGGGTTTGAACCCACCACCTCCGGCATATGGGGCTAGCAGCCTACCCTTTTGAACCATAGGCACCGCCCGTCCTCTTAGGTTTTTATGGGGGCTTCATTACCGACAACTGAGCACAAATGTGAACTGGACAAAAAGCACATGATCTAAGCCCAACATGCCTGTCTGCTCAGATTCCTCCTGGCCTGTGTAGCATTCCTTCCTCCAGGGTACGGGGCTAGACCATCTCTGAAATGAGGGTATTTTGACCCACAAGCAGGTTAGATTCTTGCTTTGGGCAGGTGAAAGAGGACCGAAGAAGGTCAGAGAGAGAGAAATTCTATCTCGGGAGGCCTGCTCCTGGAGCCTAAAGTTATGAAACTCCACAGTAACTATGGATGAAAACCAATACATACATCATAACACCACAATATGGTTCAACTTATAGCACTCAATTGCCAGGATTTTTTCTAAAATTCAAATCTGTGGAGACTGGTTGGTCACAGGACCATCAGAAATGTTAACAGAATCAAGACACTAAAGCTAAGAGTTCTGCACAAATGCTTGTCATCTCTTGCAAAAGAAAAAGCACATCAAGGACTGCAGTGCTCCGTCTGAGATATACCTCACCTGCAACTTTTCCAACTCGTGGGTCACAAGAGCCCGAGGCCTATTTCAGTGCTCGATGCACTGGTGCACCTGCTGCACAGACACGTGGCTGTCCTCACAGCAGCTGGCGCTGCACACTGGGGAGAGGGCAGAGAGGGGTTAGGTAGGAAGACCTTTGAGGACAGAGATGACCACAGAACATAGTCAGAAGGCCACATCTGTATTTGTGCCTCTCTCCACTGCTCTCACCTTTCCTAAGGGTAGATGCCAGGACTTCACAACCACAACTGGGGAAAATTATCCTCTGGGCCTTGCAGAGTGTCCCATGGCTCCTTACTGCTGGCTCACTGGCACTTGTATGGATGGCTTGGTGGATAGGGAAGGTGGGGGTGGGTCAGAGGAGGACACGTTCTGAAAACTAGGTGCCTGGACCCCAGGGTTAAGAGGTGCATCCCGCCAGAGGGCAGCCAACCCATTAATTAATGACTCAAGGAGCACTATGTACGCCTGTAATCCCAAGCGGGTAGAATGCCTGCGCTCACAGGTTCAGGATCTGCCTGGCCCACACCGAGACTCCATCTCTAAAAATAGCCTGGCATTGTGGCAGGCTCCTGTGTCCCAGCTACTTGGGAGGCTGAGGAAAGAGAATCGCTTCAGCCCAAGAGTTGGAGATTGCTGTGAGCTATGATTAACGTGAACAGACATCCCGCTTTTGGCAGGACAGTCTCGATTTTTAATAATTTGTCCTGTGTCCTGCGGTGTTTAAAAAAAGTCCTGATTTTTGGAAAGAATGCATGACAAGCTAGGGAACGGCAGGAGAACAGGAAAGGAATATACGGTTTTTGGCTGCCATGTAGCTATTTCGCCAGGATATGAGTTTTATATGATTTTTAATTTTATAATGCTAAACTTTAATAATAAATGTTGAGAACTGCTTATCAAAGTTCACATTGTTGATCAGTTGTTAGAATTCGACCACCATTGTTTGGACTTAACGAACAATGGCATTTTTTGGCATTGGCAACCATGAAAATATTTTGTAACTGTCTCTCAGACAATACACATTCATCGTACTGCGTTCTAGTGCTAAACAAGTGATGTCAACAAATCAGCTATTCAGATAATTTAGGTAATTTATTTATTTCATGAATTTAGCAGACAGTACTCATATTATTTATATTTTATAGTGACGGCAAAAAGTCTAGAGCAGGCCTTGAAGGTGATACGACTTACAAGGTATCATTATTTAAAAAATATATTAATAAGCGAAAGTTTAAATCTTGGGCATCAGCAAAAATCACAATAGAGAACAAATGTTTAGAAATATTTCATCATTTTGATACAAACCATGTTCCATACAATAATGCACTAAAAATTGTGGGATACGCGCTGTCCTTACCAGGAACTAATACTGTGACTGAACGGATTTTTCCTACGGTAAATGAAGTGTGGACATCAGAAAAATCACAATTAAGTGTTGAGACTTTGAAAGCCATTTTATGTGTGAAATATAATTTAACAAATTCTTGTGAAAAATTTCATGACCTTTTAAACAATGACAAAAATCTACTAAAAAAAATTCACTCAAATGAGAAATATGCCAAAGAATAAAATAATACTATACATAATTTTTTAAATGTATTATATTTGTAAATTGTACTTATGTTGAAATTTAAAAATATATATTACCATACTATTTTTGTGTTCTATGTAAATTTTTGTTGCTCCATATAGATCAAATTTTTAATTAAGAACCACCACTCTCCCACGCCCCGTCAATGGTGTCCCGTTTTACCAATGTTAAATCTCGTCACCTTAGCTATGATGCCACAGCATTCTACGGAGAGTGACAAAGTGAGACTCTGTACCAAAAAAAAAAAAAAAAAAGAGGAGCACTACGTGGAAGGAAAACCAGGATCCGGCGGGAAGCAGGGCCAACACCACAAAAACACGTGAAAGGTATGGCAGAACCGCACGTAACCAGCGCTGTGTAAAGCAGTGAAGCAGCAGCGGGCACGACCGGGAGGCGGGGAGACCCGGAGCCTTCGCCTTTCGGCTCTTTCAACTTGGCTAGGGCTTGTCTGGGCCTCGGGCTGCTCATCTGAGGGAGGGCACCTGAAGCAAAAGTGTAGGGACAAACCCCAAACCTTCTGAGTTCAGCGCACGTACTTGCTGCACCTCCGCCATGACAACCCCGCACCGCCCCGCGCTGGCGCCCACGCGGACTCAGCGCAGGGCCCGCCCCCTC